AGACGTCGGGCAGGGCAAGATATGACAAAATACCAATTTATAAACTATCAAGGGCTCATGAGGGAAGGGGGAGCGGGGAGGGAGGGGGAAAATGACCTAATGTCGGGGGTTTAAGTGGAGAGAAAATGTTTTGAGAATGATGTACAAATGCGCTTTATACAATTGCTGTGTGTATGGATTGCGATAACAGTTGTATGAGCCCCTAATAAAATGTTTTAAAAACAAACAAACAAAAATTGGAATGTTAAATAATGTATAATCTCATTGGGATATTGGTTTATGTGAAGATTAAGTGGTTAAACACTTAGCAGAGATTAGGGTGCAGCATGGAATTTCATTGCAATTCCTTGGTTCTTAGTTATCTAGCATTGCTGGCCACTGGAACTCAGGAAGAGGCTTTAACCTAAGCCCTGAGATAGGAAGGTGAGAGTGGGCCCTGTCTTCCTGGACAAAAGATTGACTAGTTAAGTCTCCGCCTGAGCAAAACAAGTCATGCTGGCCTCAGACATTGCTGGGATTTGATTGTTAAATGCATTTATGTTGGTCAGTCAGAGCTTCCCGCTTCTTTCAGGGCACAGTGTAAGAAGAACAGGTAGGAGTTGAGGGTTGATTGTTGGAAAGTAAATGTTTATGCTGGGCAAAAGGGAGTGGCTGAAATCTCAATGAGGACAAGCAGTGGTTTAATGGCTGGGAAAGCTAGACTCCTAATACAAGTTAGTTAATTGCCTTTATTTTGTTCTTCCTTGCTGCCTTTTGAGTATAAGTGAATTTCTTGGCACTATATAAATGAAATGATTGGCAAATGGGGGATGTTATTAAAAGTGTTTACATACTAAGTTTGTCAGGTTATTAAAATTTTAGAGATAAATGTCTTTTCTTTGCATTGTTGGTCTAAAAGGCGAATGTGGCATTTATTTTGGTCTGTTTATCAGTTATGAATAGTAACAATTGAGTTGGTTACTTTTCAGATCGTTTGAAAAATGAAAAAGAACCAATGGTGTTGAAACTGAAGGACTGGCCCCCTGGAGAAGATTTTAGAGATATGATGCCTTCCAGGTAAAATTATGAGGGGTGGGGAGAGATGGTTCCTGTTCTTGATTTGGCAGCATGAATTACTATATGAGGTAGGAAAGTAGTTTTCCGGGAAATAATCATCCTTCCCATAGCTTGTGCTGAGTTTTCATTTCTAATTGGTAGTATTTGGAGATATATTTTGAATGAGATAAAGTTAGTGACTTTTATATTTGGCTGAATAATGCAAGTACTACACATGCTTTCTGTTATAGTTCTTTGCCAGAAGAGAGGCAGGAAGTAATTTGTCAGAAGGTCCCTGGGTAGAGCAAACAGTTGACCCTCAAACACTAAAAAAGGTTGGCGGTTAGAACCCACCTAGCGCTCCCACAGAACAGTCCTAGTAGTGTGTTTGCTAAGATTATAGCCAGTGAGGTTAAGGGTTGAGGTAGAGACCAGAGCCCATCCTGGGATAATTGGACATTCCAGCACAGAGGGCCCACATGGAAGAGAAAATAACAAAAAACCCCAAAGATTATAGCCATGAAAACCCTATGGAGCAGTTGTGTGTGTAATGCATTGGGTGGCCATGAGTTGGAATTGACCTAAGAGTAACTAACAACAGTGTGATCAGGCCTATCAAGAGTTTAGTATAATGTTTCATCGAGTTAGACAATAACACATCTGAATGGTTGGATATATTTTCCTGAGTTGAGCTTGAAACCTTCAAAAAGAAGCCTCAGAACGAATTCATATATTCCTGTGCCATTTCTTCTGATCTGGACTTTATTACTTAGATCTTTTATCTGAAATAATGTGATATTGGAGGGAAAAAAAAGATGTCTTGGATATTACTAATGATAGTCTTTACCTTTATAATGACAGATATATTACATGATCACAGATCAATCATATAATGAAGCTGTAGGAGAACATGCTTATTTACAAAATCCTGCTGTCTCATCCTAGGTTTGATGATCTGATGGCCAACATTCCTCTGCCCGAGTACACAAGGCGAGATGGCAAACTGAACTTGGCCTCCAGGCTGCCAAACTACTTTGTTCGTCCAGATCTGGGTCCCAAGATGTATAATGCTTACGGTAAGGAATAAATAGCTAACTTTAAAAATAACCTAAAAAAAAACCAAGTCATGTATATATATAAAGCTTGATTTTTGAGACAAGGGGATATGGAAGAAACCTATAATCCTAACACTTAAAAGGGCAACAGTCATCAGTTTGCCCAATTCTTTCACTCCTTGACCACTGGCATGCATATGTATCTCCTTTTCATAGTTGAAGTTGGGAGGCAAGTGCAATTTGATACTTGTTATATGGGCTGCTGGAGTAGGGTCGCTTTTAATGGTGAACCATTGGATGAATATAGTTTTAGTAATAATTTCAACATTGATGGATGTTGAGGTCAGTCTGCTATAGTCCAGCTGTTTTGACATCTACAACATAATTGCATTGTTCTGCAATTGGGACTAGAATGAAGTTGGGTGTTTTGAAGGAATTCTAGACCAGTTTGTTGTTGAATGCAGTTCCAGTGGTTTGGTTTTTGGTTTTTTTTTAGTGTTTTATACCATTTGAGTCTTATTTTTTCCATTAACTTTAGAAATTACTTGTTATTTTGTTCCTTCCTTCCATAATTATTTGCACGTCACCTTCTACCCCAGTCTCTTAAGGTTTGAGGGTGAGAATCCTTCTCAAGAAAGGACAGTCTGTTGACTTCTTTGCCATTTTCTCCTGAGACTAATGGAAGAGGAGGTCCAGGAAGAATTGGGGAAGAGCCCACTGTTCTGTTATGCTGCTCTCTGTCAGTGATCTACCAGGAATGAGATTGGGGGACATTCTTGAAAGAGTGTTTTTGTTGGAAACTTGCTTCCCAACAATCTTGATATCGTAGCTCCTCCTGCTAGGGTAGGATGAGAAATGGTTTATGGAAGAAAGATCTGAGCAGGCCCTTTTTTCCTCCCTGAGTCAGGGAGCCCTGAGTGTGCACTGTGTCAAAAATGATCCTGGCCACCTCCCCTTTTTGCTTAAGCCCTTTAAAACCTGATCAGAGCAACTTGAGTGATCTGGACAGGATCTCCAGGTATACTGTTTACATTAGCAATTGACAATGTAAATGAAAGCATATTTCATTTTGGAGTAAAATGGATACTGTTGTCAAATGATTAGCCATACATTAAGAAACCATGAAGCTTTGTGAATAGAAATGGATAGAAGTTTTCAGGAAAAAATCCTTGCTTGGTTTAAATAGCTCAGCAGCAGGTCTTTGCTCCTTAAATAATGGTAGATGGCAGTGTGGCTCTATAAAAGCTTTTCCTAGGACAAAAGTTGGTTATAACCAGAAGTAAACATTTAGGTGCTGAAAATGTTATTTTCCAAATACCTTATACTTTATCATAAGCATGAAGAGTTGCCAGGTTTTAAAGGCTGGTTGATTGGACTGACCGACTCTTCAAAGTAGAAAGAAAAGAGTCTCCAAAAAGATTGCTTAGTCCGCCTTCTCCCAACACCAAGATTTCCGAACAGTAGAAATGACACTGACGTGTATTCTGGGCCTCCCAGAAGCAGCTAGAGGCAGGTCAGGGAATAAACTGGGTGTTTCTGATTTTCAGGCTTAGCACCCAGCTTCTTACTCCATTTACCCTGCAGCCATGTTTTCTTACAGCCCTGCTGTTTCAGGCTGTGTTTATTTTCATGGAAGTCCATGGTATGTTTCTGGGGATCCTGCATGTTTGGTTTTTGGTTTGTTTTTTTTATTGTTCCCTCTGAATTCAGGCTCTTTTCAGTGTAGATAACTGGTTCTATCCAATGTGTAGAAATCCTCATGGCTAGGGTGGGATTGATTTATTAGGGCTTATGGATGGGTGGGTTTCCTCATTTAATATTCTTGTTTTAGTCACTTGAGCAATTTAAACCAACAAGCAGCCCCCGAGGATGCACTGAGAACCATACTCTTTTTGGGGCTCTTTCTCCCAGATCCATTTATCTTTGTTTTTTAAAATTTACCTTTATAACTTTGTTAAGAAAATATTTTCCAAGCACATTCAAAAAAGGAGAATGTACTTCAGGGACTCCCCCAGATACTCTGCTCCCAGCTTTATGTGTGTGTGTGAGGGGGCGGGGGTTAGTTTTCTGTGAAAACTGATCTTTAAGTTGCCCCGGGGCCTTGTCTCTTACTCAGAGTCCTCCCAGGCTATGAAAACCTGAGTTCACTTAGCAAATAAATCTCCTTTTAGCAATCACAGCTTCAGTAGTTCATGGGACTTCCACTTCCTAGGATTATTCTTGTACTTTATTATTCTTTCACTTCTGAGTAGGTCTTTGCTTGTCAGCAGAGGGAAGTCCTACAGTTGTTGGGTGCCATTGAGTTGGCTCTGACCCACCGCAGCCTCACCATCCTCAGTGGTTGCTGTGTTTGAATCCATTGTTGCAGTCCCTGGGCCGCTTTATCTCACTAAGGGCCTCCTCCCTCTTTTTCATGGATCTTGTACTTTACTCGTGTGGTTCTCCAGTGATTGGACCTTTCTGATGATGTGGCCAAAGTGAGAGGAAGGCTCATCTTCCTCCTCCCTTCCAAGGAATACTCTGGCTGTAGTTCCTCAAAAGAAATGGTTTCATTGGTCTGATCCCTGTTCTCCAACAGCACTGCAAGTCAAATGCTCCGTTGATCTTCCTTTTCCGTTGTCCAGTCATTTCATGTAAAGTATGAGGCCACTGAAAATAACCATGGCTTGGGTTCCTACAACTTGGTCATCAGTGATATCTTTGCTTTTGAAAATTTTAAAAAGTCTTTTGCCACAGATCTACGCACTGCAATACATCATTGGGTTTCTTTATTGCTGCTTCCGTGGATATCACATAGAAGTGTGTAAACGGATACTTCCAACACTTGAGCTCACTGCTGTAGTAATGGGAGCAAATCCACATGTAAGGAGGCACTCACAGTTGAAGCTCATACTGTTAAGGGCTAACTAAATAAGACGTGGATTTCCAACTGCAGGATTTTCAGTGGCCCTAGTCCCTACGTTATTCAAGGGTCAGTTATGAAATGAAATCCTTGACAACTTCTGGTTCTTTGTTGCTTAACATATAATTAAACATTTGACAAGGGATTTTTTTTTACAGCATTTAAAAGATGAAAGAAAACAGTCATAGTAAAGGATGTTCTTGAACTTCTGCATGATGAGAGAAGCAGTTTTAAAGTTTTTGTGATCACTTATCTCCTGGAGAATTAAAAAAGATTATACTATGATAGTCCTTGTTGTGTTCAATAAATTTAAGGCATTTTCTTTGCAGGGTTAATTACTCCAGAAGATAGGAAATACGGGACAACAAATCTTCACTTGGACGTGTCTGATGCCGCTAATGTCATGGTCTATGTGGGAATTCCCAAAGGACAGTGTGAACAAGAAGGTAGGAGGCTGAGGCTGAAAGAGGGGTTTATCCTCTCAGCTGGGCACCAGTCTGATATTTGCTTTCCCTTGTTCTAGAAGTCCTTAAGAGCATCCAAGATGGAGATTCTGATGAACTCACAATAAAGCGATTCATTGAGGGCAAAGAGAAACCGGGAGCCCTGTGGCACATATATGCTGCTAAAGACACCGAGAAGATAAGGGGGTTCCTTAAAAAGGTAGGCTTTCTACCCTCTGGATGTGGCAGAAGAGACCTCTAATTTGAGGATACATTTATTTTTTAAAATTGGCTGAATAGCTTTGTATTGTCGGTGACTGTGAAGCTGTTTTACCTTTAAATGTACTGTGCCTCGCCCAATCTTTGTTTTGCCTTCCTATTGGGTACTCACCAAGAGCTGCTGCTCTTCAGGGAGATTCATACAGAGGTGTGCATATTTTGGAAGGAAATGTAGACAATAGCAGTGTTAACAAATGCCTTCCTGTTGTGAACTGGATGGGCTGCTTAGGAGTTGTCATGATTTCAGAAGTTAAAATTGTGCACCTGAGATCAGATAGACTGAAGGTGGTTTCCAGGGAACATTTTCTAGATGATTGTTTAGACCCATTTATTTGCTTCTGTTGTCTTGGAAGTCCAAGCACTTAGGTGACCAAACCTGGACCCTGGGTGACTGTGTTCTGAGAGATTTACTAAGGTACTCTTTTTACAACGGTCCCTCTTGATTCTGCCCTTCCTCACTTAGTAGTCAGGTCGGAAGGGTTCGGGCCCTGATGGTGGCCATTACCTTGTGGTCGTTGAGAAAAGGTATGCAGGGGTTGTTATGAAGATGCCAGGTGCTTCCTTTTGTTGGCCTTTCAGTTCCAAGCAACTGGATAAGGTGTGTTCAGTTTTTAACTTTGTCACCACTAAAGTTGCTGGGTACAACCCGGGTCTCCTTGGTCTTAGGCTCTTCGGTCCTTCTAAGGGACTGGGTGTCATCAGCCCCTTAACCAGTGTTTGTTTGAATCTGGCTCAAGATCAGATGACTCTTGCAGAAAACCTATTGGCCACCTATTGTTCCTTTGATAGTGTTTAGTGAGTCTTCTAATACTGGTTTAAACACCCTTCTTGAAAGTTTAGTCTACGACATCTATGCTGGGACTGTTTCCATGGTTCCATAATAAGAGTTTAATTAACTACAAAACAACTTTACATCAGAACGAGTCTACATCTAAGATTGAGTCTACTTTCAAAAGTCTAGTGTAAGATACTATCCAAATATAATATTTATAAACATGTACATTAGACCATCAGTTTGGGGGGGAAACCACATTTTCTCTCCACGCCCCCCCCCCCCTCTTTTTGTTGGTTCAGCACTGATTTTGAGGACAACTTGTGTTTTCTTGCCAACTGGGGTGCTTAAGTGGAAGAACATTTCACATTTACTTACAACACAGTTCACTTACTATGTTGTGCAGTTGTGTGATGTTTGGAATGTTTTCTAGGTATCAGAAGAGCAAGGTCAAGAAAACCCAGCCGACCATGATCCAATTCACGATCAGAGCTGGTATTTAGACCGATCACTAAGAAAGCGTCTTCATCAAGAATATGGAGTTCAAGGCTGGGCTATTGTACAGTTCCTTGGGGATGTTGTATTTATCCCAGCAGGAGCTCCACATCAGGTAAGAACCATGACTTTATTCTTTATTCTCTTCATACTATGCGCTCCCCAGGGTGTTACTCATGTGTCTTCTGGTTTCCAGGTTCATAACTTATATAGCTGTATCAAAGTGGCCGAGGATTTTGTTTCTCCAGAGCACGTGAAACACTGCTTCTGGCTTACTCAGGAATTCCGCTATCTGTCACAAACTCACACCAATCATGAAGATAAATTGCAGGTAAGGACAAGGATTCCTAGCATCCTCTGACTGTGTAGTGGCCCATTAAGGTACTGACCTGACACAGAAGGTCAGTGAAATTTGCCATTTTGCACTTGAGTGTATTAATGTATTGGCTTCTAGTTCCATTTGTACTTAAGTGAAGGAAGAACAGACTTTGAGGAAACCTCATCTTGATGTGATGCTTCTTTAGACTGCAAAATGACTGCTTGACCAGGAAGGCTGATCTGGCTCAACTGCAGTCAGGGGTCTTAGAAAAAAAGCACTTGACCTTAATTCTGCAATGTTTTTACGATTGTAGGTAGAGAAATGATTCTTCAGAGTGTGCTATTTCGTTTTGCATTTGGAAAGTGAGAGGGGGCCAGCTGGCACATATCCTGGGCAAAGGGGACAATGAGGTTTTACCTTCTTCAAGAGAGGCGTGGGGTTTAAAATGTCTTTGAAATGCTGGCCTGGAGGAGCTCTGAGACATTTCCATTACTGACATTTCATGAATTTTTATGAATGTTTTAAATTCTAATTAGGGGGAAAGGCTGTGATTGTGGGTGACAGGTTTCAGGGTAAAATAATGGCATTTTCTTCCTTGATTTCAGGTGAAGAATGTTATCTACCATGCAGTGAAAGATGCAGTTGCTATGCTGAAAGCCAGTGAAACCAGTTTGGGCAAACCCTAAGCGCCCCAGAGACGCCTTAACCCCCGCAGGATGGAAGGGTATTACCGGCAGCTGTTCAAATTCTTCAGGCAGGATTCCTGTGGACTTTGAGATTCATGTTACCTCATCTTCTTTTTTAAACCGTACCCTACTTGTGAGGGTACTTTGTCTAATGTATATATCTAGTGTTTGCAGACACTAAATGTGTATATGTAGTAACTATTTACAGAACATGCATCCATAAACTGACTTCTCACCTAGTTCACAACTTTTACCAACCTGTAAAAAAAAAAATCAGCTTTGAAACAATACAGTTAGTCAAAATGGATTTATAACGATTAGAAGTCACACTGTGCAGCTTATTTGGATTGTATTGTCTCGTGTCTGTCTGAATGCCCCCCCCCCCCCCCCGACATTAGGTCCTCATTTTTCCCCTCCCTCCCCGCCCCCCCCCCCCCCCCCCCCCCCCCTTAGGGTTGAGATGAACAATGGAGGAATCGCGCCCAATGCTGCTGTCCTCCTTGTATTGCATAGGGCTGGCATTAAATAGCAGAAACCAACTACTGTACAATTCTTGGGATTAACTGTCTTTAGTTACATGGAATTTTAATTTAAATGAAGCTTTGCTAATTTTAAGTGTTAAGCATTTTGCATTAAAGTATTCATGTAATACTTTGGCTCAGTTTATTGGCCTCTGGTTCGGGACTCAACTCGCCTCTCAACAAGAGTTATAGGTGTTAAGATTGGTTTAGGGAGCTTTTAGATGCAACACAAGAAATGAGACTTAAAGACTACAGTGCAGGGGGCATCCCATGTAGAGGTACAGTCAGGGAAATGAGTCCAATACAGTGTAACCCACACAGGTCCAGGCTAGTGCACAAAGCATTCCAGTCCATCAAGTATCCACCAACCACTTTGAGAACTAAAACCAACATTACAGAAGCCTCCACTGTACCCAGCTTGGGATAACACTTCCGCCAAAGGGATCGTAGTCCTGTATTCTAACACTCTATCATTTGGAAAAATATAAAAGTATCTATTATTTGTTGCATGAAGTTCTACTCTGTAGAATATCCCACTGTGTGAATACACAATGATTTATCTTTCATAATTCTAATGAATATTTGGATTCCTTTCACATGGGTTTATCCCTAATAGTATTGAGTCAATACGTATATGTTCAAATACTGTTAATAGACAATGCCAAACTCAAAGCAGGTACTCCGATTTAAGCACTCACCAGTAGTGTGTCCTGGCCAATAATGTATCTTGGTTAAAAAAAAAACAATTTGAAAGTGAATTCACCAATTTAAAGTGTATAATTTGATGATTAGTATATCCACATTATGGCAGTTTCAGCAGAGAAATGGAAAACTCTAAAAAAAAGAAACCACATGGGATTTCTAGAAGGAAAGACAGTAAGTGAAATGGATGGGCCCTAGCAGTCAACAAGCCACAAGATGAAGGATCAAAGGATTATTCCTCAAGCAAACAGGTGTGGATATCAAATAATCTAACACGTGCAACTGGATTCTTAGAAACAGAATTAACGAAGTGACAAGGTATCAATTGAAAAAGATACCAACCACCAGATCTTGGAAATTCAACAAGTCTCAAGCAGGATAAATACAAAAAACTATACTTAGACAAACCATAATCAAAGGCTGTGGCTGGGGTCGGGAGGGAGACATGTCAAACGCAGACAGAATGGGGTGGGGGGTTGGGGGCTGTGAAAGCTGTTCTCACCAGAATGGAAGCAAGAAATCAATGTATTTTTAATGGAATCTGGAATGTATACCATTAAAAGTATTGAAGTGTTATACTCTCCAAAAGGCACTCGGCACAGATCACTTTATAAGTGAGTTTGTACCAAATCTACAAAGTAGATAATTCCATTTTATACAAATCAAGTGGATAAAAATCTGGGACATCTGTCAACCTATTTTATAAGGCTAGTATACCAACATCTCACCTGTGGTTATGTTCCAAACACCTACACCAGATTGTGAAAGTGGAGGGTTGACTTATAAACCTGTAAGAATTGTGGTCCAGGTGAGGTCACCCATAATTTTAACCACCAAAGCCAGCATTACTCTTGCTGTGCACCTGTTCAGTTCAGTACCACCAGATGTCAAAATGCACAAAACGGGCTCTACAGTGTAATGTCATTAATGAGAAAAGTCAGATTGTTGGTAAAGGAATAGGTGTTTTAATACCAAAAATGTGCTAAGAACAAACCAAAAATGTGCTAAGAACAATACAAGAAAGGAAATCATGGGCCAACAGCACCTACAGACTTGTTAACAAGAATTCGAGATGAAACAAGTTCCAATTTAGCGTATAAAATATATGGTGTGACCAAAATCAGACTGTCTAAGGAATACATGGCTGGTTTAGCATCAAAGTGAGTATACATGTTAACTTCTTTTTCACAGAAGGCAGTGAAAAGGTTACATGATCACTTCCAAAGATGCAAAATAGAAATAACTTAATAAAACTCAACATGTTTAAAAATAGATTTTTGCAACTGAAAATTACATCTTGAATATAATGTCTTTGACCTACAGAGGGTGTTTCCTTACTGCTCTAGACAGACCACACTTGTGAGCTGGTTTGGTGGCTGCTGTTCTTGTCCAGTCCGCCCCAACTCCTAGTGGCCCCGGGTCAGACAAATGCAGAGAAGTTGCCAAGTTCCTACTAACCAACCCTGGCGTCCATTCTTACTGCTACAACAGATTAGCATTGGAGGGGCATGGGTCGCTAGCGGGGAGGTGGGGGAGAGGATAAGAACAATCGGGGCATTTCTTCAAAGCTTTGAAAGCTACAGAAACTTCTCAGTTCTTAAAGCCACAGCTGTCCTGCTGGTGGGTGTGGCACGGGGGATGAGGAAGAGGCCGGAATGACTAGTACATTCAGAAAATAAGGCCTAACCTCCTCTGAGAGTGACACCTGGAAAGCGCCAAGACGGAATGGGATGAAGATGAATGGTACAGTTAGCAAGGGGTCAAGGGAAGAGACGGTGGTGGTGAGGGGCAGGGAAGGCTACGTTAAAAACCAGCATTGAGTAGCTGCTAGACGGTGAACGTTTAAAGCAAGAGCTGTGTGAGGTTGGCGCTGGTCCTAAAAGCCAGAAGACAGGGACGCTTTCATTGGAGGTCTGCACAGCAGCCACTTTGCTTCCCAGATGGCAGGCTCATCCAGGTCACAGGACGGTATCCGACTCCCCCAGTCAGCACAGAATATGAGGGGGAAAGGTGAGGAGGAGCAGGGAAGGCAGGCACAGGAACTCTTATTAAAAACAAAAAACAAACACCTGTTGACACTGGGTGAGATCACTATCTGGGTGGCACATTCTAAAATGTGACTATCCACCTAAGAAGAGAAATGCTTGGGGATTTGGAGTGCCCTTCATTCCAGTATCCTGTGCAGAAACTAGCTGGATAAATGTGGTCCTGAAGCTGTAGTCTCGAGATAAAACTGAGGAAGAGGCAGGCCCTCTGCACTTGAGAACCTGCTGGAGGGTCTCCTGTCCCTTCTGCTGAGCTTGAGCACTTTCCATCTCAGGTCACCTATGTCAAAGCTGACACATTTATACGTGCTTTTTCAGGATGCTCCAGATATGCAAGAACATGTCATGATGGATGACCACACCCTTGCCCCTTGCTGGTCAGTGCGCAGCTTTTCCAAAGCACTGGTGGGCAGGCCCGTAGCTCATGACCCGTGACAACCAGCTCAAAGCAAATTGAAGCAGTCAGGGCAAAAGGTTCCACAGCTAGTACCTCTGGGCACGACCTGTAACAGGAGAGTGATGGATCACAGCATACACAGTGCAGACACGTACCTGGCCATACTACACAATGTGAACTCTTCAGCCAACAGGGCACAGGGCAATCGCTAAGCATCATTTTTGGTTAAAAAGATGGCAAAATACAGGTGTGTGGCTCCCTCCCATATCTGGTTGCTCAGGACCAGCACCCACAGAGCAGAAGCGTTCGAGCACATCCTCTCTCCAAGGCCAACAACCTGGGGTAGCAAACACCATGTCAGTTCAGCCTACCAGAAGACCAAGAGTCAAAGCAGAAATTTATTAAAATCCATTTATATAGTGTTTACAGGCAAAAATGTACAGAGCCCTCAACATTCAGGCAATCAATTCTACTCTCAGAAGTACTGTGAGAAGACAGAATTCTCCCCAGTAAGATACTTCTGTTTATACCCTTGAAAAGGATGCATTTAATCACGCCACCTCTCAGAAGAAACAATCCCTTTGATACCTAAGACATCCCCCTAAGACCACTGCAGAGAATGAAAGAGATTTAGCAGAGAACCTTCTCCAGAATGCGATGCCTCAAGACAGGTGTAGTGCGAGGGACACACACTGGTGGCTACTTCAGAGGAGTGTGCGTGCACCCAGCAGGCCAGCTGGGCCGCCCTAGCTGCGCAGTGTGGCCAGTCGGGACTGCATGGCCTCCAGAGCCTCGTCGTCCTCCTCCTCTTCCTCATCTTCTGTGGCAGCTGTTGCTCCTGGAGGCACAGGATCCGGAAGGGCATCTGTCACTTTACTAGGTGCTTTGCCCAAGGCCCCTGAAGAGAAAACAGCAGGTTACCAAAGCACCGGCTTTAAGGAACTGGCCCCTGGGGCTCCCTGCCTTCCTCACAACTGGACCAAGTGCACAAGAAAGAGGAAAAGAGCAGGCTATTTTGATCAAGTTTGTCTCACTGACCAATGTGCAAGCATCAGCTTGTAATGATACCAAAATCATAATAACAGGATTTCTATTTGAAGAACCTGGGTTTTGATACTCTGGACTTGAATCCTTAAACACACATAAAAACTTAAAATTTCCCAAATCCATGGTGTTAAATCTCCTGAGTAAAATTGTTTTAAAATCTTCAAAAAGCTTTTCCTGAAAAAACTACGCTCCTTACTTTCTGGCAAGTCGATTTTCACTCCTGGCGACTCTGTGTGGTAAACTGTGCTTCCCAGGGTTTCCAAGGTATGACTTTTCAGAGGCCCATTACAGGCCTGCTGCCTGGGCTGCCTCGGGGTGGGCGGCCAACCACCAGCACTTTCAGTGAGTGGTGGAAATGCTTCCCCACTGGTGCCACCCAGGGACTATCTCTAATAGCTTAAAACCAAATAACAAATATACAGAGAGTTCTGCCCATTATATTTTTATTAAACATAAAACTCGGGAAATCCAAAAGTAGAAATAAAATCCCAAAACTCATTAACCATCACTGAGTGATAACTATGAAAGCCGTTTTTATCTTCCCTCCTAGATTTTTTTCTATAGACTTCTTAGGAAATGATACCGATTTCTGTAGCAAAGCGACTGTCTATCATAGCTTTGTAGTTTTGTGATGGTTCACTTTATGTATCAACTTGAATAGGCTATGGTGTCTTGTGATTTGGACAAATAGTTGACTAGGTGCTGTTCCATGATGTAATCTAATGCAATCACCTGCCATGTCATGCTATACAATCAACTGGTCTGTTGAAACGGGAGTTTCCTTAGGGTGGGTTCTGCCTTTAGCTGTAAATAGATCTTTGGACAGAACTTGCCCTTCTCCACTCTATACTCTACCCATTATCTGAGCTATGGATCTTGGGAGGCAAGCCTGCACCAAGTCTATGGATTTTGGATGGTTCCATCTGTTTAAAGGGAGCCCTTGCTTCTCGGGAGAGTTAGAACCTATGTGATGGTAGAGGGCATGTGTGTGTATACACACATGTATCATATATATATGTATATATATATATATATATATATTTCACATATATTTACTTACTTCAAGTAAGTAAACAGTAAACAGACCAATTTCTCTCTCTCTCTACAGAAACACACGTGTGTATATATTTCTCGTTGGTTTTATTTCTCTAGAGAAGCCTAAGGCAAGTACTCCATTAAAACAGATATAACACAACGGATTCGACCAATATTTAAATCATTAGGTACTTAGTGTTTCAAAGGTTTAAAATGATCAACTCTACTTCCATGGGCTTCTTTGAGCAAAATGTTTGAGCCCATCCTTAATTTTTTCAATAGAGTCACTCCTAAAAGTTGACCTGCTAGTTCAATAGCTTTTTACAGCTCTTGCCAAACTGTTACCAAGTAATGGAACCAATTTAAACTGAAGAATCATATATGAGTAGAAATAGCTTCCTTTAAAAGCTCTAGGAACTTAAAAGTTCCTTATTTTTGTGCTTTTTAACAAAGATATTGTGCTCATTTTTCAAGAAATAACTTATATACACAACCTAAAATAATAACAAGGAGCCCTGGTGGCACGATGGTTATGCCCTGGGCTGCTAACTATTAGGTCAACAGTTCAAAAACACCAGCTGCTCCCAGGGCGAATGGTGAGGTTTTCTATTCCTGTAAAGACGTAGGCCATGTCCTATCATGTCTAGAACTGATTGGTTGGAAGGAGTTTCCTATGGAGGGTTCTGCTCTCAGAAACTTGCCAGATGTCCACTCTGTGCTCTTTCTATCACCTGAGCTATGTGTGGATCTGGGAATGCAAGCCTACAGAAGTCTTGGAAACCCACAGGGAGAGTTCAACTCTCCACTATAGGTTCGCTGTGAGTCAGAATGGACTCACTGGCAATGAGGAAAATAAAAACAAGTCTGACTGCGGAAGCTCTACCCTAGAGAAGGTGGGAGGAATGGCCACGAGGGGGAGAGGAGGCGGCGGAGTCCCACTGAGTCATACCTGCTGTAATTTCAAACAGAATCTTGTCAATTTCCATTTCTGCTGCTTCTTCCATTTCTTCCTGATCATCCATGCTTTCAAAGGTGTCTTCTAACATCTCTTCTATGATCCCAGCCTAAATACAGATAAAAAGTCACTCCTGCCACCTATCTAACAGATCCCCCTCAGGGGCCAGCACTGGCCAAGCTCAATCCACGTTAGCCAGTTTGGGGTTGGCAAACAAGGTAGTTGAGCCAAAGCAGCTCTGGAGGTTGCCCTCTGTCCACAGGCGGACGGCTCACAGGGAAGTGGGTCTCCAAAGCTGGCGAGGGCCACTCCTGGCTAGCAGCAGAGCTTCCCAGTGTAACCCAGTCATTATATGGCAGCTCTTGAGGAACTGACAGATGAGCATATGCCTGACCTCATGGGAAGTAACTACCCTAACATGGCAAATGTAAACTGGGAATGCAGGAGCTGAGGCATGGTGTGAACGCTGTTGAAGCCATAGCAGACACTGTTAGCAAATGCCCAGGGCAGGGTGGGCCCCATGGAACCGAGAGAAAGGCCTGTAGAAGATGGTAGGAGGTCCAGATTATAGGTGCTGGCAGGCATGGGCTGACACTGGGTCTGGCTAAGGCCAGAAGCAAGGCGGCTCATCCCAGGATCATCTGATGAGCCTGTTAACCCTAAGGTAATTTTTCATGCACCTTGCTGTAGGGACAGGAATGCTTAGGGCTAATCCAGAGGGTCTGGCAAGGATCAATCAGTTGACCAAAGCCCAATTGCCCACTCCTGGGTGAACAGAGTCCTTGTTTCTGGACTCACTGAGGTAATGGTCCTCTTACCAGAAGCCCATCCCTGGCAGCCTGCAGATGCCATTCATGTGCTCTTCTCTGCTGAAGTGTCCTCGCCTCCTCAACAACGCCAATTGACTGTTTCTGTTCACTGCTTTTTGAAGTAAAGGAGAATTGGACCTTACGATGCAAAAAGAAGGCTACTCGTGTGCCTAGATCGAGAGGAAGGGGCTGCTGAGTGATGGGTGGGGGACAAGGAGGAGGTGGTTTTGGTGGCTTAATGGCTGCCAGGAGAGGAAAGTCTGGATTACTTTGTAACCAGCAACAATTGAAGCCCTTGTTTTGTTTGTACCTGAAAGTACCGGTGAGTCCAGGGCAGAAGAGCACGTGTGGCAGCTCCTGCCCCTGGCCACCCGCACAGCCTCAAGAGGACGGCTCTCCATGACAGCGTGGATAGATTTGATGATTTAAGGCAACCCATGTGCTTTTCTGCTGCCAGACCACTGACTGAGGTGAGCACCTAGCTGATACTATACTCTTCCCATCACAGAGCACTTTCTTCTCAATGCCGAACATGAAAGAATATGAAAATTCATAGGCCTAGACATCCAGGTGTGGAGCCTTCCGGCAGGTCTGGCTGAATGAGAAACCCCTCACTGTGAGAGCTACTGTAAAGGGATTCAATGAGTCGGGCTGTTAACAGCAAGGTCAGCAGTTCTAAACCACCAGCCATGACACAGGAGAAACACAAAGCTTTTTAAACTTGTAAAGAGTTGGTTTTGGGAACTCACAGAGGCAATTCTACCCTGTCCTGTAAGGTCACTATGGGAATCTTCATGGGGATCCCATGGGGATCTTCAATACGTACCTGGAGGCGCATCTTAAGATGCATTTGGTAAATGCACTGGGCTGCTAACTGCAAGATCAGCAGTTTGAAATGGCCAACTGCTCTGTGGGAGAAAGATGACTCTTTCTACTCTGGTGAAGAGTTACGGTCTTGGACACCCCCAGGGGCAGTTCTACCCGATCCTTACAGGGTTGCTGTGAGTCAGAATCAACTGGATTTTTCGACATACAAACACAAGTGTCCCTGGCTTCACTTCTCTAGCATGCCCAACCTAACAGAAACACTTTGGGACTCAGGCCGTAGGTTTGATGCGTGAAAGAACACTCTGCTATAGCACTTCAGTTCCCATTGCCTCTGCAGCAGCAGGTGCCCAGGTCAGACATCTCGAGTGCAACCCCAGATCTGTCACTACAACCGCTGCAACCTTACACTAGTTACCTGGCAGCTCTGAGACTCAGTTTCCTCCTATGGGGGAAAGAGAATAAGGGGATAAGAGTATCTTCCCCAAAAGGCTAATGGGAAGATGCAATACGGCAGTGGGGGCAGGAGCACGGGGCAGAGGCTAAGCAACAATGGCCCCCTTAGCCTTATCCCAGTGGAGGCCCTGATCCTGGGGGAGCAGATATGTGTGCCCTTCTATTTTTGTTCTTAATGCTTATTGTTAGGTGGCATCTAGTTGGTTCCAATTCCGTGTTTAACAATGAAACACTGTCAAGTCCTGTGCCATCACCACAATTGTTACGCTTCAGCCCACTGTTGCAGTCACTGTGCCAATTCGTATCCTAGAGGGCGTTCCTCTCTTTTGCTGCCCATCAACTTTACCAAGCATGATGTCCTTCTCCAGGGACTAGTCTCTCCTGATAACATGTCCAAAGTACGTAAGATGAAGTCTCATTATCCCCACTTATAAGGAGCATTCTGGCTGTATTTCCTCCTAGATAGATTTGTTTCTACTTTTGGAAATCTACGGTATTTTCAGTAGTCTTCACCAACACGATAGTTCGAATCATTGACTTTGAATTCCTTATTTAATATCCAACTTTCACCTGCATATGAGATTGAAAAAGCCATGGCGTGGGTCAGGCACCTCAGCCCTCAGTAACAGCCTCGTTTTCAACACCGTACAGTGGCCTCACGCAGCACATTTAGCCAAGGCAATGAATGCATCATTTGATCTCTCGATTGCTGCTTCCATAAAAGCAAGACAAAGTCCGGGGCACCTTCAATCTTTTCTCCATCCATCATGAATTATCTATTGGTGTAGTTGTGAGGATTTTTGTTTTTACATTAAGTTGTAATCCATATTGAAGGCTATGATCCTTGATCTTCATCAGCAAGGGCAGCTTTAAGTCCTCCTCACTGTTAGCGAGCAAGGTTGTGTCATTTGTATACTGAAGGTTGATAATAAGCCTTTCTCTAATCCTGTTGCCGAGTTCTTTCACCTATAGTCCAGCCTCTGATTATCTGCTCAGTACACAGCTTGAGTAAGTATGGTGAGAAGATACAATCCTAACGCACACCTTACTGATGTTAACTTACACAGCATTCCCTTGTTCTGTTTGAATGACTGACTCGATCCATACACAAGTTCTGCACGACCAGAATGTCGTGTTCTGAAATTCTCATGCTTCTCAATGTGATCAATAGTTTATGAGCCACAGTTGAAGGCCTTTGCATAGTTAATAAAACACAAGTAAACACCTTCCTGTTACTCTGCTTTCAGCCAACAACCATCTGACATCAGGAATGATAACCCTTGTGCCACAAATCTGGCTTGAATTTCTGGCAGCTACTATTTGATGTACTGTAGCAATCGTTGAATAATTTTCAGCAAAATTTTACTTGCATGTGACATTTATGATATTGTTCAACAATTTTTATATTTAGTTGGGTCACCTTTCTTTGGAATGGGTACAAATATGGCCTCTTCCAGTCAGTTAGCCAGGTGGGCAGATGTCTTCCAAATTTCTTGGCAGAGACAAGTGAGTGCTTCCTCAGCTTGTTGAAACCTTTCAATTGGCAGTCCATCAATTCCGGAAGCTTTATTTTTGGCGAATAACTTCAGTGCAGCGTGGACTTCTTCCTTTGGTAGCACCAATTCTTGATTATATGCTACTTCTTGAAATGGCTGAATGGCAACTAGTTCTTCTTGGTAAAGTGACTCTGTATTCCTTCCACCTTCAAGTTTCCTGCATCATTCAAAAGTTTACCCACAGAATCTTTTAATATTAAAACTCAAGGCTTGAGTTTCTTCTTCTGTGCTTTCAGCTTAAGATATGTGCAGCATATTCATTTGGGTTTTGTAACTTCAGGTCTTTGCACATTTCCTTATAATACTTTGTCTTCTTGAACTGCTCTTTGAAATTCTCTGTGCCAATTCTTTTACTTCCTCATTCCTTCCATTTGCTTTAGCAACTCTGTGATCAAGACAAGTTTCAGAGTCTCATCTGACATCCCCCTTGATCTTTTCTTTCCTGTATTGTTAATGACCTTTGCTTTATTCAGGGATGATGTCCTCCCCCAGTTCATCGGGTCTTCTGTCAGTGTGTCCAATCTCCTCGTGAGATGCTCTGGAAATTCAGGCATGATATACTCAAGGGTGTATTTTGGCTCTCTTGTGGACTTGTTTTAATTTTCTTCAACCTAAACCTGAACTTGCATATGAGCAAATGATGATCTGTGTTCCTCAGCCAGTCCCTCGCCTCATTTTAGCTGCTCATACTGAGCTTCTTCATCATCTCTTCCCACAGATGTGGTGAATTTGATTTCTGTGTATGCCACCTGGAGAAGTCTAAACCTATAGTTGCTGTTTATGTTGCTGAAAAAAACACCTTGTTGGTCTTGCCATATTCTATCATGCAATCTCCAACTTCATTTCTATCACCAAGGACATAAGAGGGGGTATCAAAAAAAACCCCGGAATTTATTTTTTCAAAGCTATGAATTTAAATTTTTTTTACAAAACAACCTTATCACCTTCAAAGGACTCTACATTACACTTAATACATTTGTCAAATCTGCAATTCTATTCTTGGAAACATTTTTCAAACTCATCTGTTTGAATGACTGACAGCACCTCTCTCATTTTTTCCTTCCTCTTCTACATTGTCAAATAACTGTCCTTTCATGTCCCTCTTCATTCGCAGAAACAGAAAGTCCCGTGGAGCGAGGTCAGGTGGCAAGAGAGGCATGCTCCTTACTCACCTAGCCCACTGAGACGGCTGCGTGAGCTGGTGCACTGTCATGATGGCAAAACCAGTCCCGTCTGCCACAAACCAGGCCTTTTCTGTCTCAGACTGTTACACCGTCTTTTCAGAACCTCTAAATAGAAATCTTGATGAAGTCTGACCTGGTGGAACAAACTCCAAATGTACTACGAGTCAACATTTTTGACCATTTGGGAAGTTGACGGACGTCCAGAACGAGGTTTGTCATCAATCGACATTTCACCGTTTTTGAAACGAGAAAAGCACTCGTTCACTTGAGTTTTTCCCATAGCACTGTCCTTGTAAGCTGTGTTCAACATCACAACAGTTTTTGCAGCATTTTTCCACAGCAGGAAATAAAATTTCACAGTTGCACGCTGTTCTCTTAAATTGGCCATCACAAAAAAACAAGGTTCAAGCGAAAATGCTCTTATGAAAAAATTCATGTGACCAGAAAACCTTCCCAGGCGACACCACTGGGTACACCAACTCAGAGCGAGTTGTTCAATGCTAACCTAGGGGAAAATGCCTATTATGAAAGTTCTGCCCAGTGGAGCTTTTTTCTGTTTTTTTTGAGCGGGATACCCCTTGTGTTTTCCAACTGCTGTTCCTTCCTCTTGCTTTCAACTTTTTATTATTCTTATGAATTAGGTTTGGGGGTTACAGTTCAGACTATTAACTCTACATTTAGCCATCAAACCACTCATCAACATTCACCACCCCTGAATTCTAGCCTATCTCTATGGCCCGGTTTCTCTTTTCCCTCCTACGGACCTCTGTTCTCTTTTACAATCAAGCCTATACCTCTCAACCTTCTAGTCTGTTGGTATGTGTTCCCACCTCTGCCCTCTCCCCTTTAGAAACCTCCACAGTCTATTTCCAACATTTGCATTCTAATCAACAATAATTGCCAATGCATCTTGAATGCATGTTAGATCACTTTCAGATTGAAGAAGTTGGTAGAACTCTTCAGTTTCCTCATCACTAAATTTAGTGGTTGGTGCATAAATGAGAGTAATAGTTGTTGAGATAGTTTATTGTGCCAGCCTGGCCGATAAACACAAGTGGGATTAACTGAAGGGTGGAGAGATAAATGGCAGGGTGAGCCTTGCCTTTCTTGTCTCTCGCTCTTTGATCATCGGACGAGTGTGCGACTTCCTTGCTTGTTCTGTGCCTCAATTTACAGGCTACACTACCTGTGGGACGCCTAGCCTGTGACCTGTGTTGCTATAAGTTGAGGTCCCTTTAAGACTTCTCTGGAGCTGGGGACTGGCGGTTGGTGACCTGCCTTGTGATTGGCTGCTGTGCTGACATAGCCTAGCTCGCTCTTTATATAGAGGAAGACCTGGCAGCAGACTAGACTTGAAGAACTGCTAGTGTCTCACAACTCTCTCACAGGAGTGAGTTGAATTGAGCCATTTGTAGTGCTTTATAATTTAATTGTTCATTTCTTGTATTATATATCTATCTGTATATAATTTAACAGTTCATTTCTTGTGTTATATATCTAATTATCTTTATAAATAAATATATTAAATTATCAGCAATTTGGTTTTATCTCTCTAGAGAACCCTGTCTAACACATCTGTATTGACTAGATTTCCTTATATGCACATACATATTATCACCGACAGCTTAGAGCTCAAGATATATCTTGAAATGTTCTTGTTGATGATAAAAGTGACAGCATTCTTGGATTTGTCATTACCAGTACATTAAACCATGATTATCTGATTCAAAAATGCTGGTACCCATCCATTTCAGTTCATTAAAGCCTGGCATATTGAACTTTGTACATTCCATTTCATTTTTAATTACTTCCAACTTTCCTAGATTCATACTTCATACAAGTTTCAATGATCAATGGATGTTTGCAGCTGTTTCTCTTCATTTTGAGTTATGTCCCACCTGCAAATGAAGGTCCCGAAAGCTTTCCTGCATCCATGTCATCATGCTTGACTCTACATTGAGAAGATACGTCTTCCTTACTCATTTTGAGTGACTTCCAACCTGAAGGGTTCGTATTCCAACAACATATTTGACAACGTTCTGCTGCTATTCCTACGGCTTTCAGTGGCTAAACCCTCAGAAGTGGACAGCATGTTCCATCTTCATAGTCTGTTCTTAATCTGAAAGCTCCGCTGAAACCTGTTCTTTGGGTGGCCCGCTGTATTTGAAGTACCAGTGACAGAGCTGCCAGCATCACAGAAAGAAGCAGGCTGCCACGGGACAACAAACTGACTGACTGACAAGTGGTGAATCTTGTTCTTAGTCTCTCTTTTTTTAGTTCTAGACCCAAACAACTCAGATGAATGCTGCAGGGCACAGTAGAACCGCACCATGGGGTTTCCAAGGCTATAAATCTTGATGGAACTAGACTCCTAAATCTTTCCCCTGTGGAGCAGCTGAGAGGTTCAAGCCATCAGTCTTCTGGTTAGCAGCTGAGTGGTTAACCAACTCCTCCTACGAGTCTTTGGGGGGGGGGGGGAATGCTTGGGAATATCCAGCCAACTATGACCTGTGGGCCAAATTCAGTCTGAGGCCTAGTTTTAAAACAGTTTTACTAGAACACTGCCATATTCATATTTACCAATTATTGATTGCTGCTTTCAAACTATAAAGTAATTAACAGCAGAGAGACACAAAGCATAAAACATATGCATTATTTAGCCCTTTGCAGGAAATGTTTACCTGGCTTAAGTTTAGAAAAGCTTCCTTGGACAGCTTGACTGCGACCCCTGGAACAGCCCACGGAGCCAGGTGTCATTCCGTCTCTGTGCTCAGGCTGGAGTCTACAAACTCTACCTTCCTAGAACCCAAGACTGCTCCCTGAATCCCCCACCTCCCCTGAAGCTTGGGAGATATTTTTCTTGCTTCTCCTAAGGTGCATCTGGCAACCTGACTCAGCGTCTACCAAGCTTGGCCTAAGAGGTTCTGAACAGTATTCACTGCTGCTCCTCTGTCCTCAGAACAGTTCCAGCAGCAGTAGTCTGTCCACTCCCATCCATCCTTACCCTTCAGGCATGTCCTAAGTGCCTACAGTTTGAAAGAGGAAGCAGGGCTAGCCCCAGGTCACCTTCATCATCTCTTTGGACAGCTCCCGCATGGTGGCCTGGATTTCTGGGATCTTCACGAGACTCTGCATGGCTTTCATCACTTCGGTGCTCTTCTGCAGGGAGCCAGCCACTCGCAGCACGGCTGAAAGGAGAAAAAGGTGACACCGAGATTGTATGACAGAGTAACGCAGGTGGAGTAGGGAGATAGACAGCCCAATGATGACTCATTCCAATAAGAGGAGGGCGGGGTAAGGGTTCCGTAAGTTATTTCTGTACTTTTCGAATACGTTGCTGTGCTAGTGGACCAAGAGACTGAACTTTCTAAATCATGAGAGCATATACTAATAGGCATAGCCTGAAGGCAAGCTTTGAATAGCTGTGACCCAGGACAAGTCACAAATGGAAGTGATAGCTCTAGACCTTGTCAGAAAAAAGGCAGCTTTTGGGCTACCCAAGTTCTGGTCCTGTACGCCAGCTTGTGGAGAGTGCCAGGCCTCAGCAAAATGAGAGAAATCAGGATCTGCGAGAGTGAGTCTGTATGTCTGTCTGTGTGGCCAGGGAGAGATTACAGTCTAAGGCTGTTTTTTAGATGACGCCATGGGGGCAGCTGATATTTTCACCCCTAATATCGCTAATAAGCCTAGTTGTACAGTGGGTTATTAAGTTGAGTGACTAATTTCAAGGTCAGTAGTTCAAATTCGCCAGCTCCTCTGCAGGAGAAAGAGGAAGCTACCTGCTCCCATAAAGAGGTTCAGTGTGGGAAAACCAAAGCAGCGGTTCTACCCTGTCCTATAGGATCGCTATGAGTCAGAACCAACTCAAAGACAGGGAGTTTTTGTTTGATGTCTTTAACATGCCACAATAAAGAGCTGGTGACCCTCCAAATCTGTTGGGAAACTTCATGAGACTGGAAGAACTGTTCTGCTGTTCACGGCTGTTAACCAAAACGGGCAAACAGACAACAAGTTTTCCCTCCATCTGAAGGCAGAAATCTCAGAAGGTTTCACATCTGTGGTTGAACCAGCAGCACAGAAACAGGAATGACCAGGGAGATGTGCCCCATATACAGCATCTCATGACTGTTCTGCAGATTGAGGAGGCTGGCCCATTGAGGGGAAGACTTCAGTTCTCTGAACCGTGAAGTGAGAAAGCCAAATGCCTATTTATTAAGATCAGCAGGGTTACTGGGAAGTTTCAAGGCTCTGTATGGTTAAAATAAATAATGAATTATATATGTAGTTATGAAAGAACAAGAAATTCCAAAATGTTAAGTTCATTAAGTGATAGGTTTCTTTGTGCAAACATGGCACCTGTAAGAAGATATGCGTGGAGTTTAGCCTGTCAATCAGGTTGCAGCTTGATGACCTCCTTTGGAGGTGTGACCAAGATAATGGCTCGCTGGAAGCTGCCCCCCCTTTTTCTCCCCGGTAGTTGGACCAGCATGCTGCCTGACTTAGCTGCCCTGCCTCACGTGTGCTGTGCTACTGTACCATGCTGTTCCACACTGTGGCATGGCCCCACATGCTGTGTCTGCTGCCTGAGGGCAACTCGGTTCATCTTGCCACCACTCCTGACACTGCAGCGCCCACCAGCCATTTCGCATCCCTACACAGTGAGGGATCTGCTACAGTGACCTGCTCTGCTACACTGCGCTGCTGGCCTCTGCTACCCCTCACCACTTCATCTTCCTACTGTCTGCTTCCTTGGCCTCATGAGTTGGAAGGACCTTCAGTATAATAATTGTCCCACAAAAGTGAATTGGACTGAGCTTGCTGTACTAATTTGCTGCTATATTCCTTTTTGCTATATAAACTTTATGTATACATATACAGACATGCACACATATAATCTTAAGGGTCCTGGTTTTGCTTCTCTCGAGAACCCTGCCTAACACAATCACCAAGTATTGTTGAAAGGGAGACAATGAGAAGAGAAAGGGGGAGCTATAACGCAGGTGTCAGACGGTTCTGCTTGGATGCTAACAGTGTGGTGTCTCCAGCAAGTGAAAAAGCAGTGTGACTGGAAGTTAAATACAGAAGAGAAAGGTAGGAAAAGCAGACAGCGAGGAAAGCAAAGGACTGCAGTACAAAGTAATTTCCACTTTTCCACAAGGAAAACAGCAGGTGTGGCAGATACAATGATTTAATAATTAAAAACAGTCCTTACCAAAATGTAACACTATCAAGTATGAAATATATGCTTTTGATATAACAAAAAATTTTCTAAATAATTCTAAATCGACTTTGTCTTTTAGAGTGGTTTTACATTTACAGAAAATGTAGGCAGCAGGTGCCATGTTTCCATATAATCCTGCACAGAGGCTCCCTCCACCCCACCCCCAGCTATTGACTTCTTGTACTAGTGTGTTATGGACCCATCCAAAAAAAAATGTGCTAAAATTATTGAAAAGTGTTTGGATTAAGGTTTTTCTTTTGCCATTTAATGAGGCTGTACCAGAGTGGAGTGAGTCCTACACTTAATGGTTTCTGAGTTATAAAAAGAACAAGACCAAAAAAAGGCAGACACACACAGAGGTCAGATTCATCTATTAGGAACTTCAGGGACTGCAACTTCCAGAAGCTGAATTAGACAAAGGGCCTCCTCTTTACAGTAGTGTTTCCCCAAGTGGGCAACACCACTCCCTGGGGGGTGTTTCAATGATCCAAACTCACTGCCATCGAGTCAATGTTGACTCACAGCTGCCCTATAGGACAAGGTAGAACTGTCCCTGTGAGTTTCCAAGACTGTAACTGTTTACGGGAGTAGAAAGTCCCATCTTTCACCCGAGGAGCTGCTGATGGTTTTGAACCACCTACCTTGTGGATTGCGGCCCAACATGTTCACTATGCCACCACAGCTCCTTAGAATGATCCAGGGGGTTGCATGAGCAGGTACTTATAGTTTATCCTGGATTACAGGCTATACTACAAAAGTTTTTCATTGTGTGTGTGTTGGGGGGATTGTCTTTTTTTTGTTTGTTTTGTTTCTGAAAAGAGGGCAATAGGTCAAATAAGTTTGGGAACGTATGCTCTTGAGCCACACCTTGAATTTGGACTTCTAGGCTCCATAAACACTAAGAAAATAAATTTTGTGCTACTTAAAGACTAAGGATGGCCATTTGTTGCTAATCACCAATTAAAACAGACGGAATAATAATAGATACAGTATTATTCACTGAACTCCAGGGTTTACATTAGGATTCACTTGCTCTTTATGTTGTACAGCACTATGGATTTTTGACAAACGCATGCCATGTGTCCCACAGAGAAAGTTTCACTGCCCTAAGAAACGCCCTGTGCTCCACCTATTCCACCCTCCCTGTGGACCACTGGTAACCACTGGTCTTTTTAGCATCTCTGTCCTTTTGTCTTTTTTCAGAATGTCACATAGTTCAAATGGACAATTGTGTAGCTTTTTCAAACAGGCTTCTTTTATTCAGTAGTATGTATTTAAAGTTCCTCTGTCATTTCATAGTTTGATAATTCTTTTACTTTATGGCTGCATGCTCTGTTGTATGGATGTACCACAGTTTGCTTACCCATTCATATGTTGAAGGACATTTGGGTGGCTTCTAATTTTTGGTAATTGTGACTAAAACATGTGGCATTTACATAATATTAAGAGAGAAGGGGGAAGTCTAGCAGGTCACAGCTCGATGATGCCTCCTTGTGGACATGGCCTTCTCATGAGGATTCTGGGAACTCCTCTCTCTCTGCCTTGTCTTCTTGTTGACAAGCCACACAACACGGAGACTTGCTGAGCCCTGAGAGCCTCTTTCTGTTTCACCTTCCTGCTGTTCAGTCACTTGCCGCACTGAGACCTGCTAGAGCCTTGGAGATGCTTCCACCACCACTGGATCCACAAGACTCTGCATCCACTTGGCCTGTTATTTTCCTGCATTTTGCGTCATTGCATGTGCTACATGAGTCTGGAAAGGAATTTATTGGAATTATGGACTAGATCTGGACTGGGCTGGGATGTTTTCTAATAATTACTCTGATATAAAACTCTTTCTTTTTTTTGGAGGGGGGGTTTAAATTTTTTTTTTTAAACATTTTATTAGGGGCTCATACAACTGTTATCGTAATCCATATACACATCAATTGTGTAAAGCGCATTTGTACACTGTTTCTCAAAACATTTTCTCTCCATTTATACCCCCGACATTAGGTCCTCATTTTCCCCTCCCTCCCCGCTCCCCTCTCCCTCATGAGCCCTTGACAGTTTATAAATGGGTATTTTGTCATATCTTGCCCTGTCCGACGTCTCCCTTCATCCACTTTTCGGTTGTCTGTCCCCCAGGGAGGAGGTCACACACAGTTCCATGTAATCGGTTCCCTCTTTCCTACCCATTCTCCCTTTACCCTCCCTGTTTTGCCACTCACACCACTGGTCCTATAGGGCTCATCCGTCCTGGATTCCCTGTATTTTCAGTTCCTATCTGTACCAGTGTACCTCCTCTGGTCTAGCCAGACTTGCAAGATCGAATTCAAGTCATGGTAGTGGGAGCGGGGAGGAAACATTTAGGAACTAGAGGAAAGTTGTATTTCTCATCATTGTTACATCGCACCCTGACTGGCTCATCTCCTCCCCGAGACCCCTCTGCAAGGGGGTCTCCAGTGGCCTACTAATGGGCTTTGGATCTCCACTCCGCACTCCCCCCATCATTCACTATGGTAAGATTTTTTGTTCTGATGATGCCTTACACCTGATCCCTTCATAAAGCTCTTTCTTATACATATGAGTGTCTCTGGATTTGTTTCTCTAGTCAACTGGCCTAACACAAAATAACCTGCATCTAGGTTTCTATATAGACATATATTTATTTTCCACTTACTTGGGTACACATCTAGAAGTATGATTGCTGGGTCACATGCTAAGAAGTCACTACCAAGCTATTCCAAAGCAGCAGAGCTGATATATATTCCCACCAGCAATGGGTGAGGGTGGCTGCTGCTCCTTGCTCTTACCAGCACTGGGTGTTGACGGGGTTTGAATGCTAGCTAGCTATTCTCACACGTGAGCTGGTATTGCATTGGTGTTGTAATACACAATTCCCTAAGGACGTACAATGTCGAGTATCTTCATATGCTCATAAAATATTAATAATATTACATAAACATTTAAAATAAATTTCTAATG